TATATATATATATATATATATATATATATATAGATATATATATATATATAGATAGTGAGTTTTTCTTCGGTTTTCTCGATTTATTCCTTCAACATGTATGTGGGTGTGTATGTGGCCATTTTCCTTGAAGTTTTTTTCGAATGAAAGACAAGGCCCCGACCCAACGGATAGACTAACAAGGTCTGCACCTTGAGTCTTAAAAAAATTAATTTTTGTAGCGGCCACAATGGAGAGATATCAAAAGGATGTCAAACACTTAATTAATTTTTGTAAGGAATAATTAATTCTTCTTTTTTTTTGCACCTCAATGTGATGGAGTATAAAAAAACCTTTAGAAGGAATTCTAGGTATTAAAAAGATAGGTGGGGTTAGAATTGTTTTGGGCTAAAATGGTATTAAATTTGAATTTTGGGGGCTAATGTGTATAAATTAATAAACAAATAACACAAAATATTAAAAAATAATAATAAAAAAAAAAGATTAAAAAAAATCCTGCAGGGGCGCCCCCCCCCGCCCCTAAGGCATACCTTGGGTCCACCCCTGGCTCATTAACTCGCCAGTGTTGCTTGCTCGTCTCTGCTTCTCGCATTGGCATCACTCCTCCATGGTGATCAAGCGAGCTTCCACGGATTTAATTCCAGAGATTGATGCGATCCCTATAAGACAAATATAATGCAAGCTAGAATACGAGCCTCCAAATAGTACGTTATAAATAAACATCTAACCATATAATCAGGAGCGGAACCAGGATTTTTCGGTAGGGGGGGCCGAAAATTTAAAAGAGTTAATAAATATACGGTGAGGGTTCGGGGGCAGCGCCCCCGAAATTTTTTAGGGATATTTATGAAGAAATTAACCAACACAAATAGTAATGAAATACAGTAAACTTATGTAAAAACAATATTCATAGACTTATGTAAAATAAATTGTAATATAATATACATTTAGTTGAATAAGTAAAAGTGTTTAAAAAAAATAAAATCTTGAAATACATAGAAATTCGATGGATTGAAAACTTTAAACATTAAGAAGAAAGAAAATCAATACTTTCTTTTTTATGTTATATTATTTTTCTATCATAAGCTTTAATAGAGATTAAGAATTGAGATTGTGAAAAATATTTTATAGGATAAATTATAATAGAAAGTTAATTTAAAAGGTGGAAATAATAATTCATTTTTTAATGTGGGCATATATACATATTTGTAAATAAAAAATATATATAATAGTAGATAAAAGTTAATATACCAACCATTACTAATTATTTGTGTATATATATATCCATCTAATATCTATAAGTATTAAACTTCTTTTTTTTTTTTTTTTTTGTTTTTTTTCTTTTTCTTCTTTTTCTTCTTTTGCTTCTTTCTTCTTTCTTTCTTCTTCTTCTAATTCTTCTTCTTGTTTCTTTTCTTCTTTTTTTTTTTCTTCTTTTTTCTTCTTCTTGTTTTTCTTGTTTTTTGTTCTTCATCTTCTTTTTTCTTCTTTTTTTTCTTGTTTCTTCTTTTTTTTTTTTTTTTTTTTTTATGGCACGTGGTGCGTGAAATTGTAGGTTCTTCATTTTGTCTTCATATTTGGTTGGAGTAGATGGGTTTGCCCATTACTATTTCATTTGGCGTTTATTTTGTATGATGTTGTCATTGGTTTGACGCGTTGCTTATATGTGTTTACATTTAGCATTGTGCGTGATGTACTTGATGAGGGGATCAGACTCTCAAGATTTTTTGATGGGGATCGTGCCCCTTGTTAGACCTCATGGGTCGTAAATATGTTAGGACCGTGGCCACGTTTTAAATGTAGAACCCAATAAAGACAGATAGAGAAGTTTATAAAATCAAGCTGGCCAGGCTATATAGATCATTATAAAATCTCTAAGTGTTCCCAGGGTTAATGTTGACTTGAGATAATAATTATGTAGTTGTTGAGTAATAACACCGAGTGTAAGGGAAATAATTTGTTTTATTCATTGCTTGAAAATGTGAAGGTTACAAGCCTACTTGAGGCAAATGTAACTAAACAAGTTGGGAGCGAATCGCTCAAAATAACTAAACTTGTACTAAATAGATGATGTAGATGCTTCGTCCAATTCATGTAGAAAGGTGAGGGGATGCATCATCCTTAAGGTAGGATAGCCCCCCAGTTTAGGATGATGCGATCACTAACAATGTTATGAGCTCTAAAGACTCCAAGTATCATTGACATCATTGGAAGTCCAGAGATGTAGAAGGAGATTCTCAATGAGATGTCGACGATTGTCGTCGGACATCTCGTCGTCGGGTGCTGAAGTGATCTTCATCTCTTTTCCTCTTGGGAGGAGCGGGGGTCGAAGCTTCTTCGATGCGCACGTGTTTCTCAGCGCGACTTAGTAGCTCTTCCAGATTGGTTGGAGGTCTTCCTGCAATGGATTCCTTGAATCTACCTTCCTTCAAATTTTGTTGAATGATTCCAGCGAGCATGCTTCCTCCCACGTTAGGAACTTTGTGAGATGCCTCTACAAATCGTTGAATGTAGTTGCGGAGGGTCTCGCCCTCTCTTTGGGTGATAGTGAAGAGGTACGCAGGAGTCTTAGCGTACTCTTTGTTGATAGAGAAATGGTGGGTGAAGCGATCCGTTAGTTGGGAGAGAGCTTCAATTGACCCAGTGGGCAAGGAATTGAACCAGCTCAATGCTCGTTCAGAGAGCGTTGTGCGAAACATCTTGCACATCGCCGCATCAGTTGGGCCATATAGATCTGCCATGGCGTAGAACTTTTCAAGGTGCTCCTGTGGGTCACTAGTTCCATCGAACTGCGGTAGACTCGAGACCTTTACCCGTTGGGGTAGTATCTCATTGATTATTGCGACAGTGAAGGGACTGCGCCTTATTGGAGGTATCGCCCTTCCACCAATGGGATTACCTATGTGGGGAAGGTGATTTGAACGAGGCACCCGACTGTTAATTTCATCATCTCCACCATTTCGTGGAGGAGCTCGTTGGCGTGAGGCGTTGCCTCTTGAAGGTGAACGTGGGTCTTGTCGCCCAGTTCGTGCATTTTGGCGATGAGTAGATTGTTGCATTCGAGACCTAGGGTTTGAGGTGGATGCGGTATCCGCTGGCGGTGGAGGATGTTGTGGCACGGGTGGAGATGCAAGGGGAGCGCTGACTCCCGTTGTGGCGATATATTGTGCCACTGCTTCAGTGGCAGCACGAGCCGAAACTTCCGCAATCATGTGCTGGAGGGCCTCTTCGGTTATTTGAACCGTTCGGGAAACAAGGAGCGGTGGAGAAGGTAGTGGAGGCTCGAGGAGTGGTGGATCCTGAGGGGGATTCACCTGAACCTCGCGAGGTTCCTGATTACGAGGAGTAAGTGGCAAGCCAGAGCTTCCACGAGGTGGAAGGATGTTAGCATTGGTACGTTCTCTCCGAGTAGATGACTCAGGGACATCATGCTTGCTACGTGATCTTGTATGCTTTCCCACAGACGGCGCCATTATGATGATGCTAAAAATAGATCACCTTAAGTAGTTGAGATCGAGGGAGCTGGGAGAGTAAAGTGGATCACTGCTCACGTGCTAGGTGGCCCTGAGATACCTACGAACAAAGAACACGTGAACTAAGCCGGGGGTTGATCCGGCGGAAACCCCTCCGACGCTCAAGTCAGACGTGCGGATAGTCGGTAATTGTAGAGAGAATTCGAATAGAAGAATTGATTGAACAATAATAGTGTACCTTCAT